GAAAGAGACTCTCTTCCAATGCAGGCAAGAAAATAGATGTATCTATATATAAGGAAAATTAAATATATATACGTATATATATCTGTGTACCTTTATAGTCATCAGATGGGTGCATTAAGGGACGCACACTAGGAGTTCTTTGAAGTCACCTAGGCATTGTCAACTCCATGAAAAAGATGCAATCACTGCACATACGAAACCCTCTGCTCTATCTATCTGTTCCCCCCTGGATCTAGATACAGAACCATTCCCAATCCTACTGTCAACGCTAAGGGGAACTTGTATCCCTACCTCTGGTGGGACAGGCTGAGATTAGTCCTTCTCTAACTGCGTAGTAGAGGTGCTAGATAGGCAAGCCATGGCTTCCAAATGCCACAAGACTAGGCAAGGTCAATTTGCTGGTGTTCAGAGAGCCAAAGGAACGGTGATTAAGTGGAGGTGGGAAGCTGGGATTTCTGATACTACTAACTTGATATCGCTGTACCGTGCAATTCAATTTGTTTAGAGTTCCCTGGATTGTGAGGAGTGATAGGGAGGAATGAATCTTTCTTTTTTTTCTCTCTCCATTTTCCATTATTTGTGAAACTCCAGTTCCTGGCCTCCTTCATTGCTGAACAGTCACTGGCTTGCTAGCCCAGACCAAATTCCCCATCCTCGTCTCTTTGATTCATGTGTTCTGCTTGACTGGCAGACAAGGAAGCCTCTAATTTCTGAGCGGGCAATGGGGAGGCTCTTTCACTTTTTTTTTTTTTTTTTTAAACTCATCTAGTACCTCTATTAAGCAGAGAAGTGATCAGAACGGGTGGTAGCAGGGTAGAGGGAGAATGAGCCGTGCAGCTTTTGATTAGTTCCGTGCGACGCATTTCCCGTGGTACCTAGAGTTTCCTGAGCAGCATCCGCATAGTGACTCTCTGCACGGTTTGCTTTTACTGGAAATGAGGGGAGAGTAAAAATTAGACCTGGAAGCAAATGCCAAACAGGAAACTTGATTACTGACTCTAGGTTTAAAAGACAGGTGTTTTGAGGGCCGGGTTCATGACAGGATTTTTCCATTTGAGCTTTAAATTAAAAAAAAAAAGTCCACAGGGATTCCTGAAATTAGTCTGTCTGTGATCAAATGCCATTATCAGAATGACCCATTCTGCACTGAATTGGTGCCATCAGTTCATCTACAATTGACTTGACTGAGTTCTGTAGGAAGATTTTTTTTTCAATTGGGAGTAAAAAGTGTTCTCTTCCTCTAAACGGACAAAAATGACCTTTTTTTTTTTTTTGCCTAAGCCATAGAGAGCCAAAAATTTAACTTGTCTGCTCCAACAACATCCAAAAAATCTTAATTTCTTTCTTTTTTCCCCCTTTTCAAAAAAAAAAACTTATCGAAAGATCTAGTTAACGTGTGAATAAATTGCACTTCCCATACAGGTAACAGCATTAAATTAAGCCTGGTATTAAAAATTACACATATACATAAATGGAGTGTAGTGCAGTCCCCTATGGGAAGGAATTTGAACATCGATGTTCACGTATCTGTTTTTCTTGTCAGACAGGCTGCTAACACTTGTGGGCAGTTACTGACTTTGTTAATGCACCACCGCAGCTCCCATGAACCCATCCCAAGTCACTGCTCAGGCACTCCCCTGCCAGTAGATCACCACCAAGACTAGGGTTCTCCATGCCATGGAGCAGCCCTCTACCTGTGTAACGGTAATGAGGTGGCCCACATCACCCCACCAGGAAAGGATCCACACAGCCACCAGCGGGTGTTACTTGCTGAGCTCACAGATAGACCAAAAAGGCTGAAGGGCATAAAAACCCAGTCTAGTTTTAACTTTGAACTTGGCAACCTGCAGAGCTCGTGGCTGCTCGCAGAAGGAATTTGCAAGAATTCGCTCTGCTTCACAGCATCCCATGCAAGTTTGGCTGGCACCACCCTTTCTTTCCTTAGGAGTCCTAAAGGCGCTTGCAGTGAGCCCCCGTGTGCCCAGGGAGGCTCAAGGGCCAGTGGCACTACCAGGGTGGCTCTAGATCTGGGGTCTGAGCTTCACGGCATGGGAGTGGGATATTCGGCATGCAGAGCCTTGGGGAGACATGTCAGTTACCCAGCTGTTCAGTCTCCTCTGCAGTCTCTACAGAAAGTAGCAGTCCCTTCTGTGCAAATAATCCGCTCCCCTAAAGGCAACTGATTATTTCCAGATTACTGTTAGTCCCAGCATGAGTCTCTGATACCAGTTTAGTCAGCTGAAAGGTCGAATGCCAACCCAGGCTAAAGTGGCCCACTGGACTCCTGTGCTTGACACCAGTTTCCATGGGCAGCAGCAGTTGGAGTTCTACCTTTGTTGCCCCAGGCTGGATGACCAGGGGCCCACTGAGTCGACCAGAGGCATCCTCCAGTGCATACAAAAGCCTGAACAGAAATATCAGTCTAGCGTGTATCTCAGACAGATACATACATACACTTTTATATACATATACATATATGTATATAAAACCAACACACACAGATACACATACACGTTACAAATTGGCCTAGTCCAGCATTCATTCAAGATAATGGCCAGGGTTTTGCTGAGTTCACTACGGTCAGGGACAAATCAAACTTGAGGACAACCTTTTAGAGAGGTTCCCCTTGTTACCTACAAGACTTTAACTCATGCTGGACAAAGTAATCTGACTCTTAGCTTCCCACTTCCCCAGAATCCTTCTGTTTCTTTTCCTCTGATATTAATGTATTATTATAATCATTTGGGTCATTACTTCTTTTGCTTTTGCCCAATCATGTTTTGGAAAGTATTAGCGGACCAAATCTGGTCACAGACGCCTTCAAATGTTTAATAAACCATTTGTTAAAGCACATCTGGAGCGCACATTTCATGGGCGAGTCTCCATTGTCCTGGCTAACCATACGTTTGTCCTTTTGACACTACAATCAGAAGACAAAATAAACAGAGACAAGATGCCACAGTGAATTTTCAGCCTGATTAGCACATGAGTAAGCAAAGCCCATTAACCGTTCTGAATTGCTAGCTTTCCACAGCGGCAGCAGTGAGGAAAGCTCTACCGCTCAGCAGCCTTCCTCCCCTGGCGTTACAAGGCAGGCAGGACTCACGGTCAGACCCCGCTCAAGAGCAGCGTGGGGGTAACTACTTCTGCAGCATGAGTCAGCCCTGGGAAGCCCCATCGGTCACTTCTCCTGGCCGACGCAGATCAGAGGGTGGACACAGACAGCACCCAAAGCCATTGGCAACAGAGGAAACCGTGTAAGCAGTTTTAAAAAAAAGGGAGAGGAAATAAAAAGGTGGAGGGAACGTAGCGTGTAGCAAAAGGCCAACATCTTTTGTGCTCATCACAGCCCGGGCTCCATGTCACAGGGAACGAGCTCATGTCTCCCAGGAGCAGATCAGCACACGACTTCATGGTACTCGGGCACAGATGGATGTAGACAAGCTTGCAGTGGAAAACAAAACAGAAATGAGAGAGAAAGGACATAACCTGTCACCCAGATAGGTTGTCCGATTTATCTCCAAGACCAAAAAGCGACCTGAGTCGTAGGTGAACCCCAGCCTACGGCATGTGAACGCGCTCGCTCCAGGACAGGCAACCATGCCCGGTAGGCAGTGAGACCTCCCCGCGTCGCACCTCCCTCCCTGGGCAGCAGCTCCCATGGCAGAAGCCACCGTCACGGCAGGAGCAGGCGGACTTGGAGGCAGCGGCACTGGAGCCAGAGCCTTGGCGGCTCCCCGCAGGCTGGGGGCTGATGGGGTGCTCAGGACGCGCTCTGACCTTGCAAGGCAAAGCTTGCTTTTCATGTGCACATGAGCCATGCTGGCATCTCTGCTCTAACTTACAACCAGCTGTTGAGATGTAAAGTCACGGACGAGTCCTTTCTGCTTGCTCTAACAATTTTTATGCAAAGAGGGATATAGGAAATCAGCCACTCCCTACAAGTAACTACAACCGATGGAAGAGCTACGTATGCCCAAATGCAGAGACTGTTTGTTTTCTTACACTGATGGAAATGGAAAGTGGTAAATCCCTTACCAGGTGTAACAGTGTAAGTGCAGTTCTGAGGTCTGCTATGAGAGCGAATTCACCCTGCGGAGTTTCCTAAGTGAAACAGCCATTAGTGACAGTCCACGGCTGGATGAATCAACTATTGGGGGAGTTGCTAAATACAGGTCCACAAAACAGATGCATTTTCTCTTCTGACAGCAATCTAAATAAAAGCAAAACTATGGCCAGATGACATACAGTATTATTGCAAGGCTGCTGAAAATCAAAGTGGGGAAGATGTTGGGATGTGACTGTAAAAGATCCAGGAACTTTTATTTGGGGAATATCCGATTTGGGGCCCCATGAATGTAGGGTCCTCTGCGCAAAATGCCTTCCTGGGGTCTGAGGAATGATCAGACAGACAGTAGCAGTGAGAGAAAGCAGAAGTAACATTGCCCCAACAAAACACAGAAGGAGAGAGCTTTGACTCTGTTATGGCCGCTGTACTGAATCATCTAAAAAGTACTCTAATGCTGTATCTGTCAGCTGCAGATCCTCAGCGTAAGTGCTCCTGGGTTCAGGTCTAGCATCTTATGACGGAGGGCAACAAAACCCATTAGCGTTGCAGGAGATGCACTACAGGACTAAGAAACCAGCATTTGGAAATGACCCTGATGAAGGAGCTGAATGAGTAAGAAAGTCGATGAAAAAGGGCAGTGGAAGGGCATTTTCACTTCTTTCTATGACATAAGATTACGAAAACAATGTAGAAAATTAACAGGGAAAAATCTGCAACCTATATGAAGAAATATGGTGTACTAACTAGTGAAAACTAACCCTGCAAGATAGGACTGAGATTCCAAGGGAAACGTGCACAGAAGTAAAGAGAGTGCCTGCGATCACAGGGGAGCTGGCTGGTGCGTCCCTACATGGGACCATCAGTCCTCACGTCTTCAGCTATGAAGCTGATTGGTTTGAGCAGAGATTTCTTCTCACTACACAGTCACACGCCAGCGAGAAATGTGGATTTATCCTTTGATGCGACAAGGGCAGGTGGCCAAGATTTCAGCGTTGCTCTGCTCCAGGATAGCACTTCCCAAGTAATGTTCCCTGTTTAAATAATGCTGGATGGTGGCTGCCTTCCCTCTCACTAAACTAGCTGAAACCCCAAGCAGGAAAAAAACAAAGTCTGGGTAGTTGAAACATGATCTTGGTGATTAGGTTTATTCGGCAGGAAGTGGATGGAGTGCTATGGAGATTCTGCTTGCAAAGAAAAGCTCACATGAAAGACAGAAAAAAGGAGTAGAAAAAAAAGGAAGGTTGAACTTTTCCTCCCTTTTGCCTGGCACCATATCTGCCCAGATATCTTTGGTTGGATTTTGTGCCAGGAAAAAATTAGTTTCTAGCCTCTTATAAGCTAAAAGGCACAGCAGAAAGTTATATCTGTGAAACGCCAGCCTTTAGTTATGGCTTTGAAACCTGGCAAATGGCAAAACACAGTCAGTGCTTAACACATTTAGGCTGCAGCTAAGTTTTGTGGTATGGGAGGGAAGATCAAAAAGCCAAGCAGATGATCTCCACGGACTATCGCTTTGGTGTCTTGCTTCCCAAGAATAAATGGAGATCCGATCCCAGCATTACTTCTTAAAAGAACTGGGAAAATATAGGAAAAATTCCCAGAATTAAATATGTCCAGCTGGATGAAAAGTGTATCCCAAATACCAGCCTCACTGCTTTCCCTGGGACATCTGAATAGACAAAACTCTCCATCAGGTCAGGATTACAACTGGCCTAGGAAGGCGCTTGCCACTTCTCAGAGCGTGCCTGGCTGAGTACGCTCTGCATCGTGGACTCGAGGCGTGAAAGAAAGACAAAGCAGCGACTTTGCTTTATCCAGGGGTTGTGAAGCAACAGGAAGTGGGGTCAGGAAAGGAGGTCTCTACCATGCAACACCATGCCACGTCAGGGACCCCTTCTGTGTCTGACTGAGCAGCAGGGCCATGCCTGCACCGTGTAGTGCCCTGCAGCTCAGTGAGCTCTGTAGAGCCACTCAGGAGAACTTGCTAAATTGGTGACAGCTTTGAGCTCCCATGTCACCTCCGCCCGGCACGGCACTGAGTGGTGGAGACATATGCAAAGCATCAACTATCCGTCAGCATTCACTGAGCCTGCAATATATGTTTTAGCTACAATTCTAGCAACAAAAGAAAAAAAGAAGCATAAAACCAATGCCCTGCCGTCACCCGGGGTTAAGTGTCTGCCAGCTCTGCCCATGCTGCCCACCTCAGCCTTGCCGTCACTCTCTCCCCATAACCTCCTTATCCTCGGAGCGACAACTTGAGGCAGATTGGAAGGAAGATATGATTTAAGGCCCAGCATTACACACAGGTACGTTGGACTGCCACAGCACAGAACAAGCACGTAATACCTTGGATGCTTCCCTCAATGGCGCCACGACATGGTACATACACGCACACACGTACATAGAAACCTACACGTAATGCATGGGAATGGCATGTCGGCAGTGATACAGACCTTGGCGATGGTTCGGGCTGCTGCTCTTTCCTTTAAACAGAAGCAATAGTACATTAGCATGGTGTCAGGTGGCAAAAGATGTTGCTGCTTCACTGTTAAAACATAACGAAAGGACAATACCAAACAGTACAACTAAGTGGAAGCTGTGGACAAAAGAGAGGGCAAGGAGCATCTTATTCCTGGAGTTTCTGGCCCGGACAGAAGATCACTGGAGACTCATACAACCTCAGAGAAGACACATACAACGCACAGGGTTGAAGAATTTATCCCAACCCATCTTTGTGCCTACACAGGACTGAGACACTTCACAGTCGTGTGATTTGTGTGAGCACAGGAGGACTTCTGTGGGCTCAGAGAACGGCCCCCTTCTTTTGGAAATACAGTGCCCTGAGCTGTTTCTGCACAAAGGAGGGGATTTGAACGGCTCCCATGACCCTGGTGTATTTGCTTTTCCTTTCTGGCCAGCAGGACCGAGGGTCATTTGGCATATGCCTTTGCTCCTCTGTGCTAACAAGTGATGCAGGTTGGAAGCGATACAGACCTCTGTCCTCGTGTCCTGACACCCCACCTGTGGCTCTAACACCTTTTGCAACTACTTTGCTGAGATACATGGTGGGAGGGGGGAGCCACAATTTTTGTAGACAGTTTTCTTTAAACTACTGAATTTCAGAACACTTGATCGCCCTGAAAAATCATTGACGTTGAGGACACAGTTAGCCGAACACCTGCAAAAGGGTAGGCACAACGTTACAAGTCAAGCTAAGGCCACACTGAAAAAAATCTCACTGTCACTGACCAGGCAGTTTGGTAGCTTTTCCCTCCAGCAATCAGAAGAACCTGCTCTACTTTAAACTAGTTTGATTCATTGCTTCTGCACACCAAGAAAGTGCATCTGATGTGGGGCTCCAAACCAGCCTTGTCCATGCAGCCCCAGAGGGAGCAGGTTTTGTCTCTCAGCAAACAGGGGTCTATCTATCTAGCCCAAACACCAGGCAATTTAAGGGACAAAGACTAGACTGTGAGAAGAGCTGCGTGGCTGCAGAGTTCGATTCCCTCTGACCGTGGTGAGGTGAAAGCCCTGACCCTGCCTCTGCCTGGCAGTGAGCATTTAGACACTAAGACCTGCACAGATCCCTGCCCTCTTCCCCTTAGGCTGAAAGCAGTAGCCTGGAGAGGCTAAAAAGCATCCTTACACCCTCTGATCCTTGTTCAAACAAGCTAGAAACCCCAGGCTCAGCCACCAGCTTGAAGACTCACATTTTAAAGTATGTCTCCTTCTAAACCCAGACCCACTGGTCTCCAGATCTCAACTCCCTGGACCGTGACACAGCCCAGAGACAGCCCCATCGCCCCTTTGCTGGCCCCCGCTGCCCATCACGGGGTGAGTTTCTCCCACAGCACTGCCTGGGCTCAGCATGCTCTCTATTTATCCAATGCCTATGAGGCTCGGAGCAGCCTCGCTTACCTCAAAAGTGAGAGAAGACCCCTTCCGAGTGCATGCCTAAGCTGCAGGATGACTGGCCTTCTGGGGGAACAACTTCTACCCTACCACAGCAAATTTAGCAAAAGTGACAGAGGTGGACGCATCTGACTGACACTGAGTAATAGTCCCCCCACGGAGCGATGCTGTGCCATCAGCAGAGAGCACAGGGCATGGCAACGCTGCGGTCCCAGCCGAGCGGCTATTTGGACACACTGCCATGCATCCGGGCTGGGGCTGCTAATTTGGCCTGATTCATAGTGCAGACACGGACTCAAACCAGCACAGCTCCCAAAGAGGAGGAGGCTCCCGGCTGCCCTGAGCCTGAGTAGCCCAGCCTGCAGTCTGTTCAAGGTGCTACCAAGATGTGCTGTGTTCACAAAGCCCCCCTCCAGCTCAGTGAGATCTGTGATTTTTTCACCTGGTTCTGAAGCTATAGGAATTCAGCACATGACATGTGAGTTGCGGGCAAGAGGCCATAGGAATGTCCCTTTTCTTTTTTCTCACTGCTACTTCCTCGCCTGTCCTTGAGGGAAGCTGAGGGAAGGCAAGTAGGCTGGAAGAAATAGGGAATGAATTAACACATCATGGATCTGAGCCTCTTCTGAGAGCGGTGAAAAGCAGAAACAAGTCAGAGGAGAATTAGGAATGCTACCTCAGTCAGACCCTTTGAAATACGACTTTGCGTTTTCAGCCAAGCGCTATGACATTACCCCAGAGACAAATTAGGGAAGGGCTGAGCAAATGCCTCAATGCCTCCCACAATATGGGAGAGGAACGGGGAGGAGATCACTGAATGACTCATGGGGCATCAGCTGCCAAAACCTCTCGCGTCTTCAAGGCTGTCCATATGCAAGACGTAGAAAGGGAAAAGGAAAAAAAAAAAAGTTGCAAAGTGGGTGCTTTCTGAGCTCTCTTAACTCTACTGCTAACCTGAAAGTCAGTCCCGATTTGCTCTTCAGGTTCCTCAGGAGTTCCAGCTGGTTCAGAGGTGGGATGAGTCTAGAGGGAGAGAATAAACGCAATTAATATTCAGGCAGAGCTGATAGCAGAGCATCCTTCTTGAAAATTTCACCCACTGCCCCACTCTTTCGACTAGAACCAGCTTGGTGCCACCATTTGCAACTGGGAGACAGCTTGGGAAGGATGGAGAGGGGTTTGGATGCTACTTCCACCAGTGCCATAAGGTAGAGCTACGAGGGAAGAGAGAGAGAGAGAGTGAGAAAAAGAGAAAGAAACTCGTCTGCATCACCATATCTGTAACCTCCCTGAAGACAAGCATCTGCCAAGGTTTCTGAGCAGCACAGCAGTGCTTTGGCAGGAGAGCTGCTTTACCGCCTGTAGTTTAGCAGTTGGCATGGCTGCGTTTGGAGGTCAGTGTTTCTGCTGTGTATTTAGTGGAGAGAAGCTCTGGTGAAGGTAAATAGAAAAACTCAGCGTATGCTAGGAGGAACGCTGCTGCCCTCAGGAAGGGGGGACGCATGGGAGGGAGCAGCTTGCACTGTGAAGGAAACAGCGATTCAGAGGCTGGGAGCATCCCAGGAAAAATGGCAGTACAGTCCAGGGTCAAGCTCAGCCAATTCCTCATGGTCTGTGTTGGGTTCAGGGGCTCAGCCCCCAAAAGAGGTGTAATAAGGTATCATTGCCTCGCAGATTAGGGAGGAACAACGGGTTTCCTTTCCTTCTCAGGCCTGACAACAGGAATCAAAAACACAGTTGCCTAACCTGCTTTTTGCTTAAATCGTGCTAAGAGCCACTGAATTAACTCCCTCATTCACATTCAGTTTCTTCCTTTTAGAAGAGCAAGCGTCAAAGCACATGGAGCAGACAGGGCACTACAGCATGCCACATTAGTGCCTCCGTTCAAGCCTAAGGGGCTAGGGTTTGCTCCATAAATATTTTATGCTGATATTCACAGTCTGGTTTTCAACCAAGAGAGAAGTGAACTGGAGATGTCAGGGGAAGGACAGAGGAAGCTACATGAAGCTACTTAAGAGTGAGCTCTGGGACTCTGCATTCCGGGTCAAGGCTGATGGGCCTCATCCCCATGGCTTCCTGCAAATTTCTTTCTGGGCCACCAGCACATCCTTGTCGAATCATAGAAGTGTGACATGCCATCGCTGTGCCCAGAGGGTGTGAAGCCAGCACAGCCATTCCCTCCGCTCGTGCCTGTGAGAAACAAGCAGGTTGATTTAGTCTCTGTGGCCAGGATGAAGAGGTTCAGAGAACTTCACTCTTCTCTTGGGACAGCATAGCTATTTGCTGCTTTTTCCTTTGGTTGGGCCATCGCTTCTGAGCTATTCAGGAGGGATTTCTTCGAATAGGTGCATTCTCGCCCGTCTTAATAAATGGATTTTTAACAGCCAATTGCTCACCGTAAAATCTGTCAGACCCCACAGAAGCTCCCAGCATCTTCAGGCAAAGCAATAAACTGTCCTAGGACAGTGACTTAGTCAGGACTGGAAGGAAAGGGCTACAAGTGCTTGCACTCCTCTAACACACTGGTCTCAGCTGAGGTGCTGTGAAAAATGGGACTGTTGTTTACTGTAAAATAAAGGCAGAGATAGTTATGCCCAGGGTTTTTCAGCCATTTCCTCTAACTGAGCACAACTGCAAAAGCCTCTCTTCTGTCTGGATAAAACCCAAAACATAGATGCTCAATGGGGCACATGTGGTATTCTCAAAATGGAGGCAGTCGGAAAATTTTCCAGTCCTAAGCAAGGAGAAAAAGAATAAAAATAGGCCTGAAAATTTTGGCTCAGCTCCCCAGTCCAGCTCTGTATGCTTCCACCCAGAGAAGAGCACATCCTGATCTGATGAATTAATGATCCTCTTCACTCAAGATGTCAGGAAGAAGCTGATCTTGGTGCAGTGGAGCAGCGCACAGAGCTCTGGGCTATCATTGCCATTCAAACCCACTGCACGGTCTGGCACATTCATGCCAAGATGGGAGAAGGTGGTGCATAAAAATCAAGCACAAAATGTACTCCTAAGTTAATGAAAGGCACACAACTATTCCTCTTTGGTGAGGTAGTTTCTCAGGGAGGTTCGTACCCAGCAAAACATCGGACAGGAGTGGGGATCACAAATCCAGGACTCCCAATGATGTAAGTCATGAGGCTGAAGAACTCAGTAGCTCACTCAGCTGGAGAATTCAGGATCCCAGAAGGATCTCCTCCCTTTGCATTAGTCCGAAACATGAGGTTGGCATGGTGCTGAAAATGGAAACCTCTTGGGTCATCACAGGTGTTTCCATGTAAACGCGAAGAAGCACAAGCAAATACACAAAATCACCATTTCTGCAGGCAGGTGGTAGACCTAATACACCTGTGGTGCAAAAGGGAATGTTTTCCTCACAAGAGCATTCCTGAGAACGAGTAGAAACTCAACCAAGAGTCTGATCCAAAATTTAATCTGAACACAGTGCTCAGTCTAACCTGCCTGTCACAGCTTCGGAAACAGCCCCAGCACTGCTGTCCTGCAGCAATACCTGGTGGCATTTATTTCACTAAAACCTCAAAGGAAACACAGGGCCTTTTGACTAAGGGCTCCACATAGTGGTTTAACTTGAGTTTTACTGTAAAGTGTTGAACGGACAAGACCCTGCACTGCTGTGCATGTTCAGGGCACTTTGCAAAGCAGGTGCCACTGTGTCCTCTGCAGATGCAGAGAAAGGGCCCCCGACTGAGGCATTTCACGTTTTCTCTCTCTCCTCCCGGTCTGTGTGTCACTTGTTAGCAAGGGAAGCATGTCTCGGTTAAGGGGAGCTAGGTGAGACGATCCACACGCCACGGGAATACACATAGCTCATGCTACCCACCGCAGTAAGGAGTCCGAGTCGCAGGCTGCTGCAGGGGGTCCAGTGGGACCTACAGCCACTTCCTGTCACCCCAGCCCATTGGCACAGAGAAACGCCACGCTTGCTTCAGACACCGGCTCCCCCCAGCAAACAGGAATTTGCTATTCCTACTAGCACAGATCACGCTCAAGCATTTGGGGTAGGGCAACGTCATGCCTCCGGCCAGGATACCACCGAAAAACCACAACACGAGGGAGGGCAGCAGCACAACACAGTGCGTAGGAGCATACATGGGTAACACGCGCACAACACCACACGCACAGAGCCCACGATGATTTTTTGGAGCCGTGATTTAGGAATAGGGTGGGCAAGGAGAAGGATGTTGAGATGGGTTAGGGACTTCAATGAAAGTCTCCATGCGGTGCCAGGGCTCCTGCAAGGAGCCCGTCCTTCTCCTCTCTCTCAAACCCTTTCAGCAGGGCAATAGAGTCTTCCTGAGGCAAGGACAAAACAGTGATTATGAGCCTCATTGTGCAGCCTGTGCTCATATATAGAGGCCCATGGGCTTGAGGAGCGCAGCAGAGCGGTCATGGCCGTAGGCGCACGTGCCTAGGAAGTCACTTGGAGCAGGGAGACCTGGAGCCAGTTGCTGCACATTTTCTATCTATCTCTACGCTGCAGCACAGATCTGCTTTCATGGCATCTGTGGGGGCCTGATCCTAACTCGGAGGAGGTCAGACTCCAAATTCCCGCTGACTGCAACGGGAGTGGTGGGCAGTCCTTCCTAATTACACATCCTTGGCCATTCACGTACCCAAGGGGAGAACCAGCCCCTCGTGAATACAGCAGGAAAGGCTGTTACTTGCACAGAAAAAGAGAAATCATAATTCAGGTCCTTCTTAACCGTGTAATAGCCCTGTATACAAAAGGCTTTTATCTAAGAATTCAGGGGATGTTTTTCTGTAAAAGCAATTATTATCCTAACGGGGACTTTGTGTCTCCAGCCTAAGTTATTCTTTGTAACTGGGAACACTTATGAAACTTGTAAAATACTTCATTTTAGGAGCTGGTATGGAAGCATCACATTCTTATTTCACTTTCAGCAGTACAAAAACGCCTGACTGTGAAACCAGGCTGTTGATCTGCACAACAATGAAATGTATTCACATCCTATCCTTGCATTTCTTCGTTGCTATCTGCTGTAAATTAACCACAAGGACAAAGTTGTGAGTGTGATTTACTGAGGCTGTAAAACTTGCAGCTGTGAAAACTGGAAGCAGGTTTGGAAATCGGGCACTAAATCATATCTGCTGTAAAGGCATTAATGCATCCAGTGAGGATTTAAACTTCCGTAACTAAGAGCAGAGCTTGGCTCACAGTCTTGAAATTCAAGGCTGTTCCCCTTCTTAAAATATTGACCTCATTACAGCTTGAGATACCCACCTCATATAAAATATGTCTGCGATTTGAAAGTCTATTCTATTCTGCAGAACCTGGCATAATATTATTTATAGTAAGTCTTACCTGACCGTATATAGGATTTCTCAATCGGAACTACCCCAAAAGGTTAAGTCACAGAGTGAATAACTGATGTTAATAATTTTTGCTTAGCTCTGGATCAATCTTCCAAGGAAAAACTTTAATGTTAAAACGCTGTCAAGATGAGACTCCCCTCTTCTAAAAATCAGATTGGATTACTAGGTGAAATCCTAACCAATTATTTCAGTTTAGCATACCAGATTTGCATTTGATCTCTCCCTCCTCCAGATCTGTCCTTCCAAGCAGGCCCAGCTGCTCTTGTGATTTTACTCTGCACTATCGCCGATGTGTTTCCCAAGGTGCCATCACACCATGCAGCCTCTTACACCAGCAAATTCAGCACATTTAGTGTTTGCTGGTGGGCACAGCACCTACAGCATGGAGTAAAATGAGATAAATGATGAATTGATGGATGACAAATGGGACTAGAGGAAGGGGAGCACGCATGAGTAACGGGAAAATGGAAGCGGGAAAAGGGAAATTTTCTTGTTAAGTGTTGCATGACTTGGAGGAAGTTTGTTAGATCATCAAGAAATCATCCTTCAGAAAGCAAGCTTATTAAGCACTCTTCCATTCTCCCTCCTTAAATTATCACTTTGGCAGACAATTTCCCAAAACTTGTGTATACCAATAGCTAAACTGTTAACGAAGGTGCATGGAGTTAGTCTGCAGGCAGCAGGATGGGGAGCCTGGTTTGGACTTTCATTCATTCCTTTGAAAAAAACTGATCTTCAGAGATTTCTTTTTTTCTTTTTTAATTAGAGGCTTTGCATGTTACAGTCCCAAACGAAGAACAAGGAGTGACATGACACACACTTTCAGAGTCACATGCACTTCATACCTGGAGGCACCGTACGTTTGCGTTTGCGTGCTTTTCAAGTGTTTTCACCAAAGAAAACCAAAGAGATAAGAGAAATAAAAATAGGGGGTGGGGGGGGGGGAGGAAAGGAGAAAAGAAAGAATAAAGAAAATTAGCATATGAACTAAGTGTACTCCAGTTCACAGATGCACTGTGACCCAGGCTTACAGACCACTGACACAGGACCACTGGCTTAGCTTTTCTCCACTGCAGCAGGCTTAGAAATCACCGAGTGCCTCTGCCACCTGCGGTGACACCTTCAGTGACAGACAACTGGCACCTTGCTCTGAAAGCAAACGGGCATAAGGAAGTGGGGGAAATGCAGGGGCCTCCAGGCGGTCTTTGGTGAGGCACCCACAGCCCTCAGCTCCGTCAGCCAGAGACGGCTCCTGGCCTCGGGTGGCAGCTCCAGCACGAGCTGATAGCCTGACTTCCCAGAGTTGCGTCTCCCGGATTCAGGAGGCCTGACAAAGGGCTTCTCAGATAAAACATCCCAGGGACCATCAGCACTCCTGTGGCATAAACTACAAAGGCCATTGATTTTTCTTAGCGAGGACCAATATATTAATGCAGCCAAGATCAAGGCTTTGTTCTCGTGCGTGTCAGTGAAGAACGGGTTTCGTCCAAGCAAACGCAGCAGCTGATGCATAAAGGGCGCACCCGCTTGTGCCTGCATCACGAGCCCAAACTGCACCCGTGTACACAGGACTCTCACACATTGATTTCAGATTCAGTTCTACCACGACTTGAATTTAAAGATTAAATACTAGATTCTCTCAGAGGCCAATGCATTTTCCCCAAAAGAGTGACACTAGCCCTACTGCAGCGATTTGAGTGATATTCTGGAGAAACAAGAGCTTCTCCAAGGCACATGTAACCAGAAAGCAGCCAGTCCTTTAGGAGGTGCCTTGGGAAGACACGTAAGCGCACGTCACAGGGCTTCTGCTGACAGCTGGCTCATGAGGAATAAGCAGTCCAAAGCCAAGCGGTGCCGAGGCAGCCAGGGCTGCAAATCACCTGGGCACCTGCGAGGCAGACGGAAATACCGTCTTCCTCCTACCCACTTCCTAAACGGGTTGTGCCTTGCTGCTGCATGACAGCAGCCATCACCTGATGCAGTATTTGGCTTTTGCGACACTAGTGCCGTGCACAGCAGCAGCACACGTGGCAAGAGCCCCTGCCAGCTGGCTTAGCAAAGTGGGTAGAAAAGGAGAGATGAGTGGTGTGCGAGATGGAAGCTACAGCCAGGACATAAAGTTACCCCCTTCTTTTTTTTTTTTTTTTTCTCCTTTTTCCCAGGGGAAAACATCTCAATTCCAATTAATTGAGCTGAGCAAATCCAAAATATATTCAAAAGAGGTTCACCACTTTCTCAGTAAAAACTTTCCACTTTGACCAACGGCTTAACCTATTGGTGCGCCACAGATTTTGTTCTATATGATGCCCCTCCTGGGTGACGTTCACCCAGGGAAGAGGGAAGCTGGGAGAGAAGAGAAACCTGTGGCCCCTTCAGCCTGTAGGAAGAGCAGAGGTGATGCTGCTGCTTGGGGCCGACCAGCATCAGCCAGCAAAACCACACACCTTGTCCCGCCTTTTCATTCAAAATAGCTCAACTCTATAAGCTAGATATTTTGCTCTTCCCTCTCCCCAAAATCCCTATTTAGCCCCCTCTGAAGCTCTTTAGCTGAGTTGTTTTCCTGCATATCAGCTCCACGTGAGCACAGGTTTTCACAAGTCAACTCCTGTAGCAAGAAATGACCCTAGAATGTCCTCACGTAAAAGGGTGTCACTGTATGTCTGGCTGTGTGGTACGTTTAGTCTTTAAAACAGCAGTAGAACCTGGCAAAGTCCACTGAAACCAGTGTCTGCCTTTCTGGTTTTTGCAGTGGACTTGAGGTCAGGCGCTGCTCCTCATCCTCTCCAGTAGTTGATCTCGGCCAGCGTCATGTATCTGGAGTGAGCGCAAGCAGCAAGGTCAAATACTGAGAGGGAGAGTTTCAATGAGCGGGTTTAACGCTATTGGGAAACAGGGTTTTTTTGGTTTTGTTTTTTAAACAAAATCCTGATGCCGATTCATAAATATCTTTGAGGAAAAGAGCAACCAATCAGACACACACTGGGAATGAATCCAATGAAAACCTACTGACCGTGGCAACGGGACTTCCAATGGGCTTTTAGGATGGAATAAGAGACTAGTCGCCGGATTTTGAATATGAGCGAGTGCTTACCCTAAGAAATACATTCAGCTCATCTTCCAGAGGTCTAAAAGGCACCAGTAACAAGGGAAAACACAGAGGGATTTGGATTCCCAGCAGAGATCTCACCCACCGCCAGGTAACGCACCTGCAGCGTCACAACATGGCGTGGGATGGCAGCTCTGCCCGTTTGGGAGCCGGGGACACGGAGCATCCCACTGGACGCAACGAACTCCGCGAAGCCCTCACAATGCCTCGCCACCACGGCTGAGTTGGGCACCGACCCCGAGCGCCCTGGCTAGCGCCCCAAAAACACACCAAAAAAGCCAGGGGAGGCACAACCCCGTGCGAGGATGCACTGCACAGCGTGAACCGTGGAAGACGAACGGAAACACTTTGCATCTCAGCATCCCGGGAAGTCCCCTCCGCGATGCTACCAGTCCAGGCAGCACCGGGGTGGGATGGTGGCCCCGGTGCTTCCTCGCGCTGGAGGGCAGCAAATTCCCACCTCCCTGCTCGAACCGGTGTCGCTCCCGCTCAGGGAGCTGCCTGGGCACGACGACAAGTTACCTCCACTTCGGGCAAGCCGGACTGAGGCTGCTAAATCCCCCTTTTCCTACTTGCATTAACAGCTTGTGAGGGATAAACGAAATGCAAGAGAGGGAAAAATCCTCACTGAATCCCCATTTGTTTTTTTTCTCCTTTTGGAGAAAATAAAGGCGATACCAAGATTGCAAAAGGAGGTCCCAGGCCACTTGCCGGCAGCTATGTGAGGACAAAACGCTGCACTTGAGGCGAGCGTGAGGCCAGCTAAGGAAGGGACAGCAGTCTGCTGAAAGGCAGTAAGAACCAGTAGGAAACCAGTTACACCAGCAAAGACAGCGTGAGCCGGAGCGAGGACCTGCACGCTGGGCAAGGGAGGCATTTACCTATGATCCAGGGCAGCTCGGGAGGGAGATCTTCACGCTTTGGCACGGCAACTGTCACAACACAACGCAACTACCAAGGGACGTGGAGGAATAAAGGTGAAAACAAGAACACGGACACACATGGACACGAAAAGAAAACATAATGAGGAAATTAAAATCAAGTCAAAAAGAAACACACAAAAAACCCAAAACCAAACAAAAATCTTGAGAAAAAAAAGCATACATCAGCCCTTAAGGGCTCTTGAAATCAATGTTTTCAACTTAAAAAACGAAGCAAAACAAATAAACAACAAACCTAAACCAAACGATACATGCGGGTAACAGAAATAAATATGGAAACACCGGCACCATGAGGCAGGCAGTGGTGGACAGAGCTGGAGGCGGAGGTACCTGTACATGGGGACGGTGACCGTGCGCTCGTAGTACTGCCAGGTGGAGTGCAGGTCCGTTCGGGAGAGGTTGGTGGCGTAAAACCTCCAAGCCGCCTGCGGAGGAGACGGGAGCGGGCTGGGCGGACGCAGGCACCGCCGCGGCCCCGCTCGAGCGGTGGTCATCTCCGACGGGAAGCGCGTGCTGCCCAGCCTGGAAAAGGCTGAGCTCCTTGAAGACTGATGCAAACATGCTTAATAAAAGGTGATGTGGGATCTACCCCCAGTAACGAGCCTCAGAAATACACGGGAAGGATTTCTACCGCTGACCTGCTTTGAGTTTTGCGAAATGCAATTAATGCGCTGGTCCATGTCTACCTTTGCAATGGGTGTGTTCCAAAGCGGGCAAAACAGCCTCACGAAAACCACTCTTAGTCTCTCTTTACCCTCTGCCTTTTTAACCTGATTACAGAAGGTATCTATCGTCTTTACAGATAAAGCTCTTGCGGTCCCTTAAAGCCAAAGTCCTGTGCTTAAGCCACATAAGGGATCTCCCCCTTCCTCCCCTGGTGCTGAGCGCAGTTTTATAATCAGCCCACGCAAAGTCCTCCTCCTGTTTTCTGGGGGACGGGTCAGGCGTTTTGCCTTTCGCTCGGTTTGATACGCGACAAAGCAGAGATGGTAACAAGATCCTCCGGCAGCCTGACCGTGTGGACCAGCCAAAAACGCGCCGAGCACCAGCCCCTTGCTGTCAGGAGCGGGGCACATAGCAAGCGCATGTTGCTGCATGTTAGGGAGCTAAAAAATTTGGAGAGAGAGGATCTGGGGAACGTTAAGCCACTCTTATTTCAAATCTTTAAGACCTACACTAAGGCCAGCCTTCTGTGCAGACATCTGCTGTCTTTAAGAAAACGCTCCCAATTGTAACGTTATATCAGTATAAATATTCTCTTTGAAAAAAAAAAAAAAAGGGTGAAAACAAACTGTCCTAATGTATTTGTCTAACTGAGTCGGGCTGGATTTTGTTCCTTTTCTCCCCCAGACTGCCTACCACATATGCTATTTTTCCATGGCTGATTTCCTGGCATTTATTTCCAGACAAGACCAGTCACCAGCTGCTGTCTCACACCTTCCACACGCTGCCACATTTTTCACCTTCCCTTCTCCTCCTGAATTTCTCGGAGTCTAAGACCCCCCCAAAAGGGAAAGCTACAACGCCAAGTCTCCTTGGTTGTGAACCTGGTTCCCTGCAATGTTTATAAAACTCAGTCAAAATCATTTCCATTCATTTTGCACTCTGATCCCTCCGTGGGATTTCTTCACTGTGAGAACCAGAAGACCCCGTAAATCATGAGGCTCGTCATGGGGTGCTTATGGCCCAGGCTAATTAAATCCAACTAAGCAATGGAGAGACTTCCTTAGGCTTTGAAGGGAGCTGAATCAAACCCATAGCAGAAGTGGGAACCAGAACTGGGATATCTCTGTATATAGTCTAAAAGACACTCTCTCGTGGTCCTGAGCCAGGAACTCCCATCTCCGAGATCCCCGGGAGGACCTACATCCCCGTCGCTCCTGTCGGCACGAGGCTACCAAGCCCCACGGTTAGCTTCCTAACCTGAATCAGGCCCGCTGCTGGGTTTCGCCTCTTCTCAAAATGTTTCTGTCGATGCTGCTCTTGAACCTTCAGAGCAAAGCCCGAACCCAAGATGCCCTAGGAGGAAGAATGCATATTTGCAGTTAGTTGGGGGTTAGGCTAAGCTTTCACTAAAAAGTTGGAACCAGCTTTGTCTCCAAAGGTTTGTTCGCTCCCGAGGATCTGCCTCACTTCTAGCTTCAAACGTATGCGGGGAAGGAAGGAGGAGCCTTTGTCTGAGGCAGCGCTGAAGGGCAAATTCCCAGGGAAGGGGCAGCACTGGTGGGAGGACTTGGCTGGAGGTCACCGGAATGGCTGCTTTTCCCAAACTACCTCCAGTCAGGTGACAAAATACAAAATAGTCACACCACGCTGGTGTTCAGCAGATTTTCCTGTAAAGAAAAATCAGACCAATGCAATGCACCGAAATGCATTGCAAAAGGGATTGTGGCAGTTTACTAAAAGGGCTTAGCCACCCCAAGAACAGAGGAACAGCACTTTGCGGAAAAATAGGGTTTTACTTCAACGATTGTTTACACCACATTTATGCGGAGCCAAATCAAGTTTCCATCCTGTTCCCACCATGCCCTAGTTCTCACACACTTATAGTGCCTGAGCCGCAGACATGCAACAGTGATTTCCTACGTCTCCCTGTTAACACGGGGACTCTTTGCGTGCATTAAGCCGTTGACGTAGCTGTCGCGTTGCCATCAACAAACCCAAGCCCTAATCCCTAGCGATGTGTTGCAGCCTTTACTTACAGCAGGAAGGGCAAAGAAGGAGACCCCAATGAGTGTGAACGTAGCCGCGAGGAGCCGTCCGTTCCAGGTCTGTGGGTACTTGTCCCCATAGCCAATGGTGGTGAGTGTGATCTGCAGGGAGGAGAGCACCGCAAGCCCCTCACTCGCATGCCCTTCGGTCAACTCTGTCCCGAAAAGTTGGATAACACCCCCAACACTCCTGCCACGCCGCGGTGGGACAGTGACCACCGGGCCGGGCTGGGAGCTGAGTGGCCACGGCTCGGCACCCGAGCTGACGTACTCTAAAGTACAATTTGGCCACTGCATCGGGACACTGGGCTGCTAGGGCCAGACATGCCAGGAGCCTTCATTTTTCCCGGGGCCGATGCCCTTTCCAGCCTCCTGGCTCACGCTGCCACCCTCCCGGCTCGATGCTGCGAGTTTTGACATTTGTCAGCCAGAAGGAGCATCTTTCTGCCAGTGGGCTGACACAGCCAGAGCTGCCATCTGGTAAAGGAGCTTGTGTCAGCTAAGCGCTTCCTGCAGGAGATGGGCTCGCTCCTCCAGCATGGGAAACGATCAGGCAGAGTTCCCCGAAATTCACTTTCGGCATTTCTTGAAAGAAAGCCGGGTTATTTGCATTCATAAAGATCTGGCGTCGTTTATTCCTAATCTTCCCAGCAGTGCCCATTAACTGTTTTCCCTTCCTATTTAAAAACAGCACATTAGCCTGATAGTATGAATTACTGCTGCTTCATACGTCCTAATTTAGGGATATTTTTTCCCCTCCTCAGTATTATTATAACGCACCAAGAGAGCGCTGGCAAGCTGTCCTGTGTGTTTTGGGGGAAGGAGCTGAGAGATTTGCTGGATACAAAGGATCTCTTGAACTTCAAACTGCCAGAAAAGATGCATTTTTCCCACCTCAGTTCATGGACCTCGTTAATGGCCAACGGGAGGTATCCCTGAAGGCTTCTGAAAGGATTTGGGGAGCCCGGGATTGGTAGGGCAGAGCAGGCAGAGACGGTCTGATTAAGAACGTCTTCTTTGAGACATCTGCCCAAAGGTCCACTGTGATCCCCTAAGAAATGGACAGTTGTTCCCCGTTCCCCGCAGCCTCTGCGGCTTCCAAGGGAGGGCAGCGCCTCCCCGCTGCCACCCTGCCACGGCTTTGGAAACCTCGCACGTTCGACGCCGAGCAAAATCATTTTTAAACAAACGGACGTTAAATCCCAAAGCGCTGTTTAATTGGACACACTAAAAGCACTATCAATTAGATGCCATTTTCGCAATGCATTTAGTAAAATGCATCTAAACAGCTATTCCTTACTGAAGCACAAACTTGAAACGATCATCTCTCCTTAACCACTGCACAGCTGATGTATAACTTGTTATGATTTATATTGCTATTTACAAGGATCGGAGCCACCAAGTTCAGACCCGGGGATGAGTTTCTGAATGTGGAATTTGATTCATCTTACCTATCTCTTAGCATCAGTTTGTACTGGACAGTGGCAAAACCCATTGATTTGAACGAAGCTGCTATTTTGCTCTGAGAGTCTTGGTGGCAGAACAGTTTGGTGCACCTCGGTTTCCTGCCATGAGGGGGGCAACTCCCCATAAAAAGCTCTCCCAGGCTGTGAAGCAGGGAGGATAACTCTGAGCACGGCTTCCTCCAGACTGTGCTCAAATCTTGGCTGTCAATCCCACCTCATTGTTTATTTTCTAGTTATGTCAAATTGGGCTTTGTTTTTATTCTCGCTCATAACCAAGGGGCTTGTAAAGCAATTTACTGCCTTAACGTTGTTTCTGTGCCTTTGTTGAAACGGAGGAGCTGCTTGATCAGCCGATTCCTCCCCAAGCCTGTTATTGGGATTTGATCACATCCGGGATTTTCATTACATGCTTTGTAATCAAGGCCAAACTAGCTTCCACAGTGTCAGAGCAGAGGAACAATAAACCAAGAAGATTAGAATGTCTTTAATTCTCCCTTTGTTAATCTGGTAATCCAATAATTCACACGCACGCACACAGGCAGAGCAAACTAAAAGTATTGCCCTTTCTTTCTTTGTCAGCAAAGATTTAAAAGAGGAGTGCTTTCAGCAGTGAGGCCTTTCTGGTACTTAAACCTCATTAATTTTATAAAATATATTCCAGTGTGTTTAAACGCATGCTATCCAAGTACGATTACAAATAATTTCAAGGCAGCAATACTTGTCAAAATGATGATCAAAGCACCCAGTAGCATGGGGTCTTTATTAGATCTAGCTCAATTGTTGCAATGGAACTAAATACTATGATTAAAAGTGTGCAAGCTCCTGGTTGCCTTGCAACTCTGGCTAATTCAAAAAATGCAAACCTATAAAAATTTCTACAAGAATTACTTAAGAAAAAAATAGCTACATGGCGTAGCCTGACCACTGAACAACAACGTTAACTAAGCACTCCATAAGTCAATTCCCCACATAAGTGATAGAAAATGGAGGGTTAATGGACATTTTATATTAATAACCAGCAGCTGTTCTATGAAAATTACTTACCAGACCCCACCAGAGTGCATCTGCGTACGTATCAAAGTGTTCATTTTCTCCTTTCTCAGCCAAGTATACCAGGAAAGAGGCCAGAATAAGGCACAGGAAGCCAATATACCAGGCAGTAATCAGCTCCTGCAAGATCATTAAGGGACAGAACAGAATAATTGCAATGCTGTTGTGCATCTCCAAACGCAGAGTTACTTGCTTGCGGTTGGCCTCAGATCTGAACTTTCCCAGCATTTGTGCACGTCTAGCCTTCGGGGATTGGTTTTAGCAGGGCTATTTTGAACTTAGAGCAGAGAGGAGCCATCTGAGGCGGGACCACGTTCTGGTGGTGCTCCTGCAACGCACAAGAGGCAACCCTGTCCTGAAGAGCCAATCATCTATGCAGACACATTAAACAGAGAAGGAAAGGAAGTATTATTTGCCCCATTTTTTAAAGATACAGAACTGACAGACAAGTGGTTTCCTCAGAGCATACCAGGACCTGGTGTTGAAACTCAAACGTGAACTCAGGAGCCTCAGGACCTTCCTTAGAACTGGTCCCTCCTACTAAACAGGGAGAAGCTACAAAGCTGGCATCTGGATCAGGTAAGTTTTAATTCACAGTTCATGGGAGGGATTTGCTTTGGGTCAAATTCATGCAAGGGTGGGTGCAAGAGGCCCACAAATTTCCTGATGTTTTTACAAGACTTTGGATAAGTTAGCTAAAGTTTTCACGGGGAAAAGTACAGGAATTAGGAGAAACGTTGTCATAAATTCAGCAGCAGGAAACAGAAATGTGATCAACAAATTCTTCCCAAACTGGAGGAAAGCCAAACTGATTTACACTAGGGATCAGTTTTGCGACTGGCACACGATCTCACGTTTGGACGAGGAAACCGGTAGGGGAATACTGTCCACTAATGGCTGGTGCTGTGGGGTACGTTTACAGAAATGTGTCCTCTTAGAAGCACACATTCTGTACAAGGAGCTCTCACAACACTTCTACTTAATGATGCTGCTGGCTAATTTCTAACCCTTTGCAATAAGCTGCATCAGTGTGCAGATAGTCACTACATTCAAGTTATTTCCTGCAAACTGGGATCAAATGTGCATCTAAACATCCTTTCCTTCTCTCTGATGGTTGGAGAAGCCTGTTGGATGTTGTGTCTCTAACTCCGCATTGCTCTCTGTGTCAACATACTGTGTCTTTGCACCCTTCCCGTGCCTGGGAGATGTTTGGGGAAGAGAAAGGGAAACCGAAGCAGTGTTTCTCATGGCGGGGGAACTGCCAAGAGTAAGTCAGTCTCTTTGCTCAGGACTTGCTCACCTTACTGTGCGCGTAGACCACAGAGCCTAGGAGCTTCCAGGTGCCTCCCCTCCGGTCCATCCGTATCATGCGCAGGATCTGCAGGAACCGCAAGCTCCTGAGCGCCGAGGTGGCAAAGACGTTCCCTTGGGACCCAGCCGCCAGCACGGCAATGGAAGCAATCAGCACCATGATGTCTGCAAGAAGAGGATGCATTGGGCTCATCAGAGAAAGGGAGTCTCCCTTCCCCATGCATGAGACATCCTCTCAATCACAGTCCTTGAAGAATCATCTCTTCCTATGACCTGTCTATCCTAACTAAAGCCTTCAGCTCCACTTATCCTATAGCCCTCCTCTTGGTATTTGAACCTGGCCTCATGAGAGGTGAAGAAATGCTGCTGAAGGCATTCATACCGCCACTGGCAGCAGAAGCACATACATGAAAGTGGTCTTACATCAGTCATATCTTGTGGTGCAAGGACACAGCAAAAATCTTCAGTCAGACAAAAGGAAGGGCACAGCTTATGGAAACTTCCTATTTCTTCTTCTCCACAAAAGTCCTTCTCAGAGAAAACATGTCTAATACTCCAAAACCTGGATTTTGTTATGATCCAGTAGTAGCATTGATAAATTGGATTAAGTTCTTCCAAAGTGCATGCCTTTTTTTAACCCATCAAAGCTGCCTGTTATGCAGTGCTCCCTATAGGTGTGAACTCCCACTGCCTAGCCAGGGAACGAAAAGCTAGAGGTCCACCGTTGTAATCGTTGGATGCTCATGGACAGAGAAAGTCCAAGAAAGAGCTAAAACCCTGCACATATCCATTCCTCCCCCCCCAGACATTTAAAAGCAGGCTGCATATCAAACGGCATGGCCTCTCTGCCCGCTCCTTACCCCACTAAAAATAGCTGCTGCGCACAGACGGCCCCTTTCACAAGGGGATCGCAAAGCACTTCGCGAACAAGAATTAATTAAATCTCACAACTCCCTCGTGAGGCATCTCATCAACACAAGGGAAAGCGAACTGAGACACAGAGAGTTTAAATGACTTGTAAGTGACTCGATGTCAAAGTTGGACACAGGACTCCCGTGCCTACACCAAGCTCTTCCCAGCTAAACATCTTTTCCACTACCGCTGCGGCTCGCTCTGAGTGATGCCTGGGCCACTGAAAGCACCAGGGACATCTCTTAGGTCTGCAGAAAACAGGCTGGGCCTCGTGCAGCTACAGAATAAGGAAAACCACAGCGGTGAGTTAATTTTTGCCCTCGTACTCTCTTCCCTCCTCAAGGTGACCACAAAACAGCTGAGAACCAAAAAAAAAAGCGTGGCAGAGCTTACCAATGACACAGAAGGGTTTGCGAGCGAATTTTAACCTTCCTCTCCAGCCCCGGTATCGGCAGCAGCAGCCGGCTGCCCAAATCCTCACAAAGTATTCCACGCCGAACACCACGATGGTGACGATTTCCTGCAAAGAGGACAAGGTGATGAGTCTAGCAAGAAGCCAGGCGGAGAACGGGCTGCAGAATTCAATGCAAAAGGTTGAGGGCCTTGGAAAAGCTCCCAATAATGAAGCAGTTTAGTTTTCTTTTTATTCTCATTACAGCCCTTTCTGGCTTGACAAGGCCCTAATTAGGCTGCAGCGTCTTTTGATATCTGTGTAGGGTAGGGACTAGGGGGAGAGGAAGAAAGGGCCAAAGAAAAGGCAACGTCATGAATCCGGGAAGCCCCGCGCCGTAGCTGTGCGTAGTGGAACTTTGCAGGCTGTCGCTCAGCAGAAGCCAAACCATCAGCGTGAGGGATGCCGGGCTATTTAAGGAACAAAACTTCAGCTTTATGTCAGATCAAATAGTTGCAGAAACGTGTCGTGTGGGAGAGGAGGTAACGATGCTGGCTGTTTCCACTGCAGCACGTTGGCAGCTTTAAATGCCAGGAACTGCTAAATGGACATCAAACTGCTTTTCAGTTTGGATCCATCTTGCTACTGTACTGTGCAGTTGGAGACAAATGGGAAAAAAAAAGAAACACTTCAGGAAGAGGGTTCTTAAAGAATCCTTTAAAAATTGTGCTCAACTTATTCCTGTGCGTCCTGACAGAATTCCTCTCTTTTTTCCATTTTTTCCTATTCCTTAGCTGTGGCTCCCAATGGAGCCCTGCAAACACCCAACAGTCTCAAATTCTTGCCCCAGTTACAGACCCCCAACCTCAGCTTTTTGGTTGAGGTTTGGTGGTTGGCTTTTGACTTTCTTTTAATATCTTAGTGATGGTTTCATTTGCAAATCCCAGCTTACCAGAATGTAGAGGGCCCCTTCAGAGCTGTTCTGGTACTCATCAATGGTTGAAAAGACAGACAGGACCAGGCAGGAGAAAACTAGCAGAAAACTATATAACACACACACACACACACAAAGAGAGAGCATCTGAGAACATCAGTCTCCAGAGCAGAAATTTTGAGCACTTGATCAAACTAATCCAGAGAGTATTTTCAGACCTCCCTGAGAAAACCAGTGGCCGCTGCTCCTCCACAGCACTCAGCCATGCTGAGGTCTTGCAGGGTGGAACAGAAAATTCTGCATAGTGGCTGAAGCTGCATCAATCACTGCTCTGCACTGGAGGCCAATTCAGTCCATTTTATCATCGCTATGCATTCTCTGCATTTGTTTGGTTTTATCACTCTTAATTGATTCAAAGTCTGCATCATTTTGCATGTGATTTTCAACCTCCAGGGAGAAGTTGAGCGTAAAAAGGGAAAATGACGTCCCCGATTTTACCAACTGGAATGACTGTGAGTGGAAGGCTCCATCGGACCACTCCCAGTCCTGCCAAAACTGATCCAATTCCCTTTCCAGCAGGTGATTGCAATAAGCCCTGTCATCACTTCCCTGAGAAACTGTTACCTCTTCCTGCAATATGCTTTCAATAAGCATGCAAATAAGCAGGGAAATACTCATTTATTAACAACTAACAGGTGAGTAGATTGGCTAACAAGAGCAAGGACACAGGCTGAACAGAAATCCAGAGACAACATCTCTTCTGCTCTGCTTGCATCTCCTCATCCACAAAAGGTTACGCAGGAGCAAGACTCTGCTTCCCAGCCATAAAGGTGCCCTTGCCAGGGTGAGACCTTCTTGGAGGTCCTTCTGGTGTAACTTTCTCAGACAGGTACCAGATTAACTCTTTATCGCCTGGAAGGGCTAGCAAATTTTAAGACTTGTTCTAGTGTAACTGTGAGAGGTAGGTGGTTATTACTCCACGTTTACATAGTTAGACAGGCACAGGACACAGCACGGATCTGATCAAGTCCAGGGGATGTTTTCTTAGTTTTGAGCTGGGTTTGAAGTAGCCGGGCACGAGCGACTGCACGGCTCTGCAGTCACCAAAGAGGCCCACCCTGCCAAAAGGGGTCTTGGGGGACCCTGCTCCAATATCAGCTCACTCAGCCTCTCACATATTTGCCATGAAAATGACAGATGAGAGTCCCAAAAGCCCCTTACGATGTGAGTCCAGGTCCCGTTGCCCTCCGCTGCTCCTAGGACCTGCGCCCCTAATTCAGACAGGCACTTTCCAAGTACAGATTACATGAGAGAGGGACTAAATAAAGGTGGATCTCAGGTAAAGTGCGTTTAACTACTCATACTCCCCACGAAAGCTATATAAGCACAGAGAGACCTGGATGACCCCAGGTGAAAAGCAATTATCAACACATCCCGAGCCCACTTTCCCAGCGGGATGATCCCAAAACAGTCTCTGGCCCACCCCATCAGTCACAGGGCTGCAGCTGAAGCCAGGCTGTCCCCCATCAAAACTGTTCATTCTGCACACTTCACAAACGCTGCATGCACTAATGCCAATCAAAAGCCACAAAGTGCATGGCGTGAGTTTGAGTCTGGTCCGATGCTTGATGCCTGAGCCCTGGCTACAGAGGTGTCCTGGCATCTGCGCACGGAGGAGGTTTCCGTCCGCCAGCAGTGACCACCACTTGCTCAAACAAAGGAAGGGAAATTAATTTACTAAAGATCGATTTACTGATACAATAAAGTAGGTCAGCGTAGGCAGAAACTAAAAGCTGCATTCTTTAAAAGCATTAAATAATTCAGCTGTCTGGCCTTGCCTCGCATTCCTACAAACTGGATTTTGAATATTTATAAGGTACGGTTCAGCTGGCGGGTGCTGCTCCTTTGCTTTAGACAGAGGAGTTTCACACCACGGGCTTGCGTTTGTGGCTTTCCAATGACCATTAACCTCACAGTAACAAGCAAAAGGAGAGGGATTTGCAGCATTTTATCTGAACCACAGGCAAGGCTGAAAGCTCCCTGCCTTGCGGAGGGTAACGCACTTTCAGACGAATGGTGGTGGAGGCTGCACTTTGTCAGTAAGAAGCCAAATTCTGCACAGACAAGACAAGGACAGGTCCCTCCTTGCTCACTTTAGAGCAAGTTCTTCTTATCACACCAGTTTGGTACCTGGGGACTTGCAATGACCTCAAAAGAGTAAGAAAACGTCCCCTGCAATTTCATCCATGATGTCCTGCCTTGTCATCTGTGGTCTTATTGAAAGCCATTTTTCTCCCCTAATCTAGCCAGGGTGACAAAGTCTGTGGTGGTCCTATTAGCGGGGCACCCCTGTGTTTGGTGGGAGTGAAATGAAGGTGATGTTTCTATTTTAAAGACCTTGCCATAAACAAGCCCCATCACAAACTGCCCTACAGCCGAGCGGACTGACGCCATCCATCCATCCACGTAGTTCGCGTGGGTTAGTCCCCTGCAACTCAGAGACCGGCAAAAGCTGCTACCTGAACCATTGCAGAGGGAAGCGAAGCCTATGCCTGCTGAAGGAGAGGAGCTGCAACTGGGTCAGCCAGCCCTGCTCTCAGCGTGGCCCAGATTTTGCTGCAAAGTCCTACTTCAGAGTGAGAAACAAATGAATAATCAATGAAAGAAGAAAGAGAAGAAAAAATACAGATGCTGGAAAAGGACCGAAGGAAAAAGAAAATCCTGCATATTCTGATCAACGTAATAGAACGTGGGCTGTATTTTTGGGACCAAAAGCTAAAATGCTTGGAGAGGTCCTGAAAGCCAAGTGCCACTGTTAACATCTACTTGCAGAAAGTGTTTGCTAAGGTGATCCCCTCAGACGGATTCAGCACCGAGCAGCACTTAAACAAGGAAGAAGCAGAGTTGTCACCTCTACCTGGCTGCCTCTGCATTGGAGGCTTTGGCACTTGCTTTCTTCCCCCGACACCAACCAGTAGCCCCTTCCCGGTGCCCATGTCCCCCCTCCCCTCCCACAGTGCCTCGGTGCTGCTGCAATTGAGGGGAGCTCCAGCCCCAGGTGCTTTGGGCTCTGCATTCCCCGGGGCCCAGTTAAAACCTGATGAATATCAGGCTCATGGGTCCAACATTAATTACAGCATTGCTGAGCGTGGGAGACGCCAGCGAAGGCGCCGGCTCCTAGCCCTGCAGGCAGGCTGTGGGGAAGTGCCATCTCCTATTCCCAGCTCTGGCACTTCGATTAAGCACTGGAGCTCCACGGCCAAATCCCACAGGGAGCACAAACGTCCTCCCGCTCACCCACTCCACCTCGGGCCTGATGGGGACGTGCAGCCAGTTGTCCTGCCAAGGAGGAACGCGGACACTGGCTCATCGCAAGGTCATCTGCCTGAGTATCCCAAAATAGCTTCTCAGCGACATACAGCTACTGCGTTGAACCCTGAGGGCCACGAATCCCAGGAGGCTCAAACACGAGACTAAGAAAATAAAACTTTTTTTGCAAGGAGACTAAATTCACGGGGCTAGGGTCTGTCTGCATCTCCCCTGGAAAGCTTTGCAGGACCTGCAGAACCTGTCGAGGTGAGGTGGAAAAAGGAAGCTGTGAGAGGTATGTCCATACCAGAGGTAGCATGTCCTCCTCTGCACTGCCACGGAGTGGGGCAGTGGGAACAAGAAGGCTGAATCTGCTTTGATTTCACCTAATGCACCCAGACAGTGCAGGAAAGGGCTCCAGATAATAATGGATAGCTAGGGAAAGGGAAATAGGCCAATAAATAGTGTAGAGGTTGGGAGGAATCTAATTTTTAAAGCTACATATCTAATTAAAGCAAATTATGTCTACAGCCTGACTCTGGGTAATGTTAATGTGCAATAAGGAACGTTAATTATGTCCCGTCTAATGATTTTTACATTAAAGATGCCAATTCTGGTTAGAGCTTTGGAGAAGACAATATCCTCCTCCAGAGGAGACAGCAGCCTCTCTCAAACCCTGGGCTGGATGCAAAGCTCAGCACGTGGTTACAGACCACCGTTTCCTACACAAAAGAGAAGCATAGAGAAAGACGGGACGTCTCAGGCAGGAAGCTTCATGATGCTGCCTTTTCTTGCTCACCACCCACTCCTGCACGAGGCTGTTAAGGGCACCGAGCATCCACTGCTGCTCCAGACCCCCTGCCTCTCGCATGCCTCTCACTTAGACATGTAAGCTCAGGCAAGACTCAGCTGTGCAAATCTAACTACAGCTAATACTAATAAATCCAAAGTCTCCCAAAGTCTGGCTTTACAACCAAAAGTTACGTTGACTTAAGGCACCCGTGCAAGCTTCCTACTATGATTTATAAATCCAATCACAAAATCTGCATATCTAGATTTCATACCCACTGTACTTCACGTTAGCAAAGGAAAAAAAAAAGTTACTGGACTCCCCCTCAAAAATAAATATTCTAAATGACTTGTCAATGGGAAAGGTTTGGAGGCTTTTTGTTTTTGGTAAAAGTATATGATAGAATCATTATAAAGCTTTTGAGGCTAATATCTAATTTGTCTCCCAGAAGAAACACCCTTGGAATCTACCCATCCATTTACATAAGAATAACAAAAAAACCCTTTAATTTATTCCTGAAATATTTTCAAATAATGTCTGCTGACATGCAGAAATACTGGGCTTCCTCTGACAGAGCACCAATGGAATAAAGAACAATTAGCAATTGAATTCCTGGACATAATGAGGATGGATACGACAGCAGGAAGTAGCACAAGCCACCACGCTCGTTACAAGCTTCGTTGGATTTCACTGGAAACGGGAAGGGAATTAATGCTTCGTTTAATAAGAAAGAGCAAAGCTGGAAGGGAAGGAGTATTTTACTACAGGCATTTGAAATCTGCGCAACAGAAAACAACTTAAAACATTTTAAACACTTGAAAATGACTTTGGGGACATAAACAAGGCATTGATAATTCTGCTAAAATAAAACCAAAATGCTTATGAGCAGTCCATCTGTAATCCCAGCAATCCATTCTCTGTGGTCTCTGCAAAGCAACGGCTTCCAAGTATCTTCAGCTTCCATGTAAACTAGACACTGTAAAAATGCAGCAATGACAATAAACCAAGGT